TAGCCCATTTTAGACATAGATATTATATTTCTCATAATAATCTTTCAGAACAGGTAAATGTCAGCACTAGAGGTGTAGATAACAAAATGAGCCCAATAATAAAAGGAACAATTTATCAAACAGGGTTCAAAAAGTACAGCCTAACTGGTGATAATTATTCACTACATTATGTAGTAAATGTGCTACAAAAGTGCTTGCAATAATAGGATTAGGACAATTTGTAAGATCCACACAATATGTAGACAAAGGTCAATCAATCTCACTTCCACCTTATCCTCTATACCTGTACAATATTTGTGTCCATGTTATGTTATATAATAAGTTTACTATTTGTGTCCATGTTATGTTATATAATAAGTTTACTATTTGTGTCCATGTTATGTTATATAATAAGTTTACTATTTGTGTCCATGTTATGTTATATAATAAGTTTACTATTTGTGTCCATGTTATGTTATATAATAAGTTTACTATTTGTGTCCATGTTATGTTAAGAAGTAAGTTTACTATTTGTGTCCATGTTATGTTAAGAAGTAAGTTTACTATTTGTGTCCATGTTATGTTAAGAAGTAAGTTTACTATTTGTGTCCATGTTATGCTATGGAGTATGTTTACTGTCTGTATCCATGTTGTGCTATACAGGAAGTTTACTATCTGTGTCCATGTTATGCTATACAGGAAGTTTACTATCTGTATCCATGTTATGCTATACAGGAGGTTTACAATCTGTGTCCATGTTATGCTATACATGAAGTTTACTATCTGTTTCCATGTTATGCTATACAGGAGGTTTACAATCTGTTTCCATGTTATGCTATACAGGAAGTTTACTATCTGTGTCCATGTTATGCTATACAGGAAGTTTACTATCTGTGTCCATGTTATGCTATACAGGAAGTTTACTATCTGTGTCCATGTTATGCTATACTGGAAGTTTACTATCTGTGTCCATGTTATGCTATACAGGAAGTTTACTATCTGTGTCCATGTTATGCTTTACAGGAAGTTTACTATCTGTGTCCATGTTATGCTATACAGGAAGTTTACGATCTGTGTCCATGTTATGCTATACAGGAAGTTTACTATCTGTGTCCATGTTATGCTATACAGGAAGTTTACTATCTGTGTCCATGTTATGCTATACAGGAAGTTTACTATCTGTGTCCATGTTATGCTATACAGGAAGTTATGCTATACAGGAAGTTTACTATCTGTGTCCATGTTATGCTATACAGGAAGTTTACTATCTGTGTCCATGTTATGCTATACAGGAAGTTTACTATTTGTTTCTATGCTTTAAATGATGATCTATACTGCAGTGAACTGCCCTTCCAACACACAAACTTTGTACCTGATCTTCGATAAAAGCGGAGATAAACAACTTCTATTTTTCTCTCTCAGTATCCCATTATTTTCCAAGTACTAAATTTACTGACTATAATACTAAAACAACGTGTCATTTTCTTCTTGATTTCACACAAATCTAACAATACATTTTCCACAATGACCTGAAACCCTCAATCAATTCTCCCAGTAATATGTATGAAGTCTATATACACAGCCATTGTTGCAAATGTTTTCAAACCCAATAAAATCAATTCCTCAAACATATCAAGGTCTACAGTTCTGCTGGAATCAGTTTAAAACTAGTGAGACAGTACATTATAGAGAATAAATGGTGGCCTATTTCTCTATACTGTGCAGGCTGTGACATTTTGTCAACGGAATAGAATGGACAAATAGATACATTATGATACTATGCTTTTTCTGTGACACCTTTAGTCATATATACAATACAATCTCTTCAAAAGTATAAAAAGTGTGTATATATTTAATACAAGTATAGACCCTGACAGGGCCAAATCTAACTTAATTGTCAGTGTCATACATTAAATGTTTTAAACCTCTGCTCAAACGTAACACTCCCACTCTTCCCTCTTCCCACTCTTCCTTCAAAAGTATAAATACGGATGTTAGGAATGCTAACATACTGAGATGGTATCACAGAGGAATATCTATTAATACCAACCCTTTTAATCACACACTAATTTTTAACTACAGTCTGAAACTAACTTTAAAATACCTGACATAAGTCATTCCTTCTAATCTTTCACAACCTCCTACTACCCAAATACATTTTATATTTGTTCTGGTACCAAAATGCTAAAGTTAGGGGTACCACCCCTGGTTCTACAAACTTACAGAATTTAACCATAGTTACCAAAGTAAAAGAGTGAAGAGGGCACATAAATATAGGTTCTAGAAATTTCCAAGACCTAATACTCTTCTTACATGGTATAGGATAATAGCCCCTATACAAGTATATAATGCAATTATTCTTATAGAGTTCTACAAGTTTCCAGAATTAACCTCCTTCAACATCAGTGTATATGTAACCATTCACCTCTAGTCCTACAATTTACTTTGTTTTAGCAGACACAATACTGGTCATGTTTTAAAATTCTTAAAAACTGTTCACTCTGATTCTATAATAGGTAAAGGAGAATTAGACTGATTTTACAAATTTAATTAAGGATCATCCTAACTCTGATTCTGGATGGTCAAGGACCTCATCTTAATCCTATGATCTTCACAGTCTTGTTCTGGTCCTGCGAAGTTTAACCTGAATTTATCCTATCTATAAGGTTAGAATCTGAACTTGGTTCTGTAAGGTCATGGGGGTTTATCCTGACTGTACAAGATAAGGGCAGTTAAGTCCTGTTCTAATAGGCCTAATTCTCATCCTTTATGTGATTGCAATGATTTGGAAATTGTACATAGTTAAATCAAGTCTTACAAGGTTGCAACAGGTTAAATTATGGGTGTGCAATTTTAAGAGGCTAACCCTTAAAATTATGATGTCTTTAACATGCTAGCCCTTAAAGTTAAGATGCCTTTAACCTGCTAGCCCTTAAAATTACGATGCCTTTAACCTGCTAGCCCTTAAAATTAAGATGTCTTTAACCCTGATTCTGTTAGGTTAAGGATCCTTACTATTAACAGTGTTAACATTGGAGCATGGCAGGCTACTAGGCAGTGTCATTGTTAAATCATTATTTGTTAGGTGGTGTCTACTTCAAATGTGATAAATAATTATAACACTGATCTAGGTTGTAGATGATATACAGTATGGTAATCTAGAAAGTAAGAGTAAAAAAAAATTGAACAAATTAATATTTCTAAATATTCGAAAGATATACCAAACCTTCCAAGTTTCAACATGAAGGCCAAATATTTACATAGAAGTATTTCAATTAAGATCTCCTGCTGTGAAGACTTTCATTATAAATTTGTTCAGTTACATGTGTATACATAGATAACTTTACATCATTCTTTCCCTGCACAACTTGCATGTTTTTCTTTTGAATTATTCATATGTCAGCAAAAGGATATTCAAATTGGAAGTAAAAGGATTGAAATTTCCCCAACAAAAGTGTAAGAACTTAATTCAGTTCAGCATGAATACATTTGGGTATGGAGTTTAAACTGACTATTATCTACATGTCTGTCCCCCTGACCTGTCAACAAAAAAGGACTTAGATATCAATTTATTTCATATCTTGTACACTTTACGTTTAAATGCCAGCTGAGCAATGTCCTTTTCTAGCTCATTCAAAAGAGTTCTGCTCTCTGTGACCAGCAATAACAGTAAATTTGATATTTTCTTTCTTACTGGTATTGGATTCATAACTGATAGATATATTAATATATGATGGAGCAGTACATGTTCATGTGAAGGAGTTCAAATATAACACAGAACAATTTACCATTCATAATTGTCTACGTTAATGAATTCATATTTATTTCAGCAATCCAAGATATCATTAAATAGCTAACTAATCCTGAACAAACTTTAAAGCTCAGGAGAAAAGGTTTAATATTTCAAATTGAAAATTTCTATGGATTATAAAACACTTTGATGAATTTACATTTTAAAATCATTGATTGGGAAAAAAATTGCCATGAACCAACATCTAATAGGTTCCATTGGCTATAGCTGTACATCAAGTAGGTTTGAAATATTGATTGTTATGTCTGTTTATTCTAGAGGTATGAAGGATTTTAGATGAATATAATGCTTCAAGCTTGTTTATAGATCTATGAAAAATATGGGCCATGTTTTTTTCTAGTACAGTCTGACGACCACAATAACTTTAAATTTTGAAGGCATGAACATCAAATAAATCTAATTTTACAGCCAACTGTAAAGATTTTCTTCAAGAAAAAAAAAAAACAATAAATGTCCAAAAAGATAAAAGCTGGCCATTCACTTGTTTTAAATAATAAATGATGTTGATAAATGAAATCATGGAATGTATGTAAAAAAGCCTGGACATTTACCACACATACATGAATGTATGTACAGCAAGCCTGCTACTACCTGAAGACCTTAAAACAACATGGTAACTTTGTCATTTAATAGCGTTATTAATTTCAAGGACAGTTTAAGCTTTAACAAAAACTAGTCTGGAATGTAGCAGTTGTAGGTATTGTGTCTATTTTTTAGTCTTTCCTATTAAAATGTCCCTAAGTGAAGGTATTATAATTATAAAGGACACAATTTAGAAAACTATGACCATTCCTGAAGGCAAAGAATTGTGGGACATTGATATTGTCAGTCAATACCGAGGAAATATTTCAACTAAACATATAATTTGCAGGTGTCTACATATCTTCCTTATTTTTTTCCCCTGATCAATTCTAATCTATGCATTTTAAAGGAGTCCTTTCAATATATAAACCATGTACTTAAAGTTTCAACAAATTATCATACACTGGTTCATATACTGGTACACAAAACCTAGTGATTTTAACTATGATTCTATTAAAATATTCAAGATTTCATATCTTGTGAAAAAAATTAACAAAAAATCTGATGCTTAGCAAGTAGATATATTTGTATGGTTGTGTTACTCATTTCACTCCATACATATATATGTAATAAATGAAATTCAGTGTGTCAGTAAACAATTTAAAATTTGTCTCATTGATTTACTTACCCTTCTTGTTGGCGAGGCTGAACCTGAATGAGTTTCAACAGAAGATGTGCGGGACTTAGATGTACTTGGACGTGTATAACGGCTCCCTGGACGACTGAGGATGGTTGACACACTGGACATCGGTCGTCGACTCCCGCTAGTCATCGGTCGACTTGATGATTCCAACAGTGCCAGTTCTTCCTCCGTTTCCTCTTTGATGATTCCAATTTGTTGGTCATCCTGTGTAGGTTCTGGCTCTGTAACAGCTTTAGCAGGTATCTTCTTTCGACTCTTGGAATGTCGACACTCTCGACTGCTAGTCTCTGTTTGTCCTCCTTTATCCATTTGTAAAATGATGAATTTAGTACAAATTTACTTCACTTAAATGCCCTACTTACAGGGACAATTTGAACCTACCTATCAAGATATAATATGATGAAATATCTATATATATCCATTTCATATGATCAAACAAGGTATACAGTTTTCACTTTAGTATAAGATTTTTGTTATTAAAATGTCTTCAGTAAAAGATATGTGATATCATCACTCATATCCTCATCCGTTAAATTGTTGGCTAAATCCAGCTTTGCGGGTCTACATATCACACAGTACAAGAGATATTTCTTACAACAATATATATAAAAACTTCAAATGTTTGTACATGAATTAAGGTGTTCACAACTTATTCCTTATCAGACGAGTAAATCCCATTTAAATATCCACGGTGAGCAGGAGTTTTACTGGGTATATATACATGTCACATTGGTGTTATCCGTCACATTTACCGTTAAGTGGTAGGTATAACTCTATATATATCTATTCACTTTGAAAAGTATAATTAGATCATGTCCAGAAATCTGAATTCCCTGGATCTACAGCACGAATACTTCTCAGTCGGAACACAGTTGATAGATATGAGGCAGATCTAAATGGGCTATAATCTATATATTCAACCGGTGTCTGTGGTTATTGAATCATTGCTGATCATATTACAAACACGTCAATATCCATGCTGTATTCATATACTCCACTGTCATGGCTGTAGAACATATATTCAAAGTAACTAAAATGATTCAGAATCAGTGATGTCACTTCATTTTAAAGCATGTTCTCTTATAAAGTTCACATTTTACATGAAAAATCAATCTGTATGCTAAACTCTATTAAGAAACTTGTGGATATATTGTTTGACAATATAAAGGCCAGTCTGCCTTCAAACACAGGGCATGCCCAAGTAAATAAATTGTTAAACGACAGACTCCACGGTGTTTGAAGTGAAATTGCTTTCTTTTCATTACACAGGAAGTTACCCGTGGCTGGACTGATCAATGGAGCAGACAACGTTTGCATTCCAAACTAAAGGCAAAGCTTGACATGTTGCTATGGACGCCTTAATCTACTGGTAAATTTGATATACGGAGTGGAATCCATGTTTGTGATGAAAATGATTGAATTTTCCAGTTATAACAATAATCTGAGCTTACAAATATTGCTTCAGTAAAGCGAAAAAAATGCCTACCATTTACATTTTTCAGTTTCAGACCAGTTGGTCTAGTACTGTTCATATACCGTAGAGAGTTTGCAACATTGAGTTTAGTTAAAATGTTTTAAAATGTATTCACGCAACCACAGAAGCAGACGAATTATTTTTCAATAAGAACGTTTTCATTGGTCGATTTTGTACCAATGAGCAGTGCTGTTACATTTCGCCCGGAAAGGTAAAGTCGAAGGACAACAAGAAGGACACAACACGGCGCACGTGTTATATTTTAAGTATATAATTTGATATACAGGTCGTTTAAACCTGAAAATGGGTCGACGAGGAAGAGCATCTTCTCCTATGTCCAGGTGCGTTATATAAATCAAAATAACACACTTTTGTTAGTGGGTTTGGTGTCATTTTGGAAAGTTGCATAAGCCGTTTTAAGGTGATCAGTTTTTGCGCAGACGCTTTTTGTTGCCTTTCAGAATATGCTGTCTTTTTCGGTGACAGATTATTTGATATGTTGTTAAGGTTTCGATGAAAACATCATTGTTTTTACTTTCTCAGTAAAAGAATATGCTAAAAAGTAAATTTAATTGCTTAATTACTAGAATCTACTTTACAGTCACGGATGGGGATGCTTACGCAACTCTTTTGGAACGAGGGGAGGGAGCTGCTCATTAATTTTGCAGATGTGATACCTTGAACTCCGTGACTATCAATCATTGTATCAGGATACTTCTGGGAAACATGCTCTGCTGATTAATAATTCATTTACCTGTAAAATGATCTGTCTATAGATGTTCCAAATACATGCCTATAGGTTAGTAATTCTACAGTAAACGGAGGAATCTTCTCAGTACGTTGCATGTCATAGAAATATCTGTCAGTGGTAACAATTCTGTCATTGTCCACATTAATCTGATTGTATAAGACACAACATGTTGATCAACACACTTTATAGTTCGTACTCATTGCTTATTGCATAACATGTTGATCACATTGGTTCCAAAGTTCTTGTTTATTATGTACATCAGATATGATAAAATACAGTATTTATTACAATGTGTATTCTGGGAATAGAATGTCTATATACATAATACTAACGTAAAAAAGCAATGTTCAAAGAGAGCAATCAAATTGACCCTTCAGTAATTTCAGAACTCTAATCACAAACCTGAAGGGTCAAAACATATATGAAAGACCCAGCCACTCAAACTCAAGGAGCCAAAACCCAATTTTGGATGTTAAATAATATATATTTGTATAGAGTCAGACTTTGTCAACTCGAACTTGAGGACCATGAGAAAACTTTGAATTAGCCAAGTTCAGTCAATATACATGAATGATTAAGTTAAAAGCTGTTGGTCACTTTCTGTAACAATACATGTCAATATGGAGATTCAAAGCTTGGAGAGGAAAAATGATAAAAGAGAAATTGATACCATGGAAATTTACTAATTTGCCATCAAAGAACCTCATTGAAATAACATATATATATATATTTAACATATACCTGTAAATATGATCAATGAAGTAATAACAACAGTACAGACAAGTGAATTGTCAAATTTCTGAGGCAATCTGCCCCTTTATCAAGACATAAATATTACATAAATTACATCACATACATAAAACAGATACCAAATTATAAACTAAGATGGTAGTGTAAAGTTAGGTGTATCGATAATCTCTTTGGCTGATGGATGCTGAAGGGCCTTCATAAGGAACAAAAAGCCATCTTAAGTTGTATTATGAAGGGATGCAATTCAAATATCAAAAATGTTTTATATCAGTCTTGGTGCATTGTGCACTGTAGCCACTGAGTATATATGTGTTTGCAGAGGAAATGTATCTTTATGTTACACAATGAGGAAAGAAATTTAACTGTATATCTCGGCCCAACTCTAAAGAAGGAATTGTTTTATTAAAGATAGAAAATGCATTGTAAAAATAAAATTAATGAATGTATGTGTAGTTAAAATAAAAAGTATATTTGATAAAGTTAACAGTTAAATTAACAGAAAATATGAAAAAAAAAACCTGATTGAATATGGTAGAATAGACTCCAGATTCGTCAACTTGTCCACAGAAAACAAGATTTTCTATTTCCAGACTATGGTTAATAATCAGCTTCAATTTTTAAACAGGAATGAAAGCAGAGACTTAAGATCTAAATGAGAATGCAATAAAGTTTGGAAAGGAAGTTGCAGAAAAAAATGTTTCTTTTATTATTTGGGGCTTTGGGTGGGAGTGGCAATGCTATCCATTTTGTACTTTAAATCCTATTTATTCACAACACCCTACATTGAAAATACAACCAACTGACAGCATCTGATAATTAGTATCTTATATAAAGTGTTGTGATCCATCAAGCTACTGCAACATTTATTCAATCAACTCCTTTCAATATTATAATTTTATGTTATAGCCGAAGGGCATCACCACCTCCTGCAGCCCCACGGAGGCAGACACTGCCAGCACAACCCCCACCATCAGCACCTATGATGGCTGGTAACCAGCCCAGGCAACCAGGATTGATGGCTCAGATGGCTGCCACTGCTGGAGGTGTTGCGATAGGATCTACTGTGGTACGTTCATGGGACTTATTATGTGCTGACACTAGTTGAATTACTGGTCTGTCACGTGCTTATAAACAATAATTGTTATCACTATTTCTTTAGAACCATTGGATAGATCTTTCTTGAATTTAAAATTATGTATGTACCCCAGAACATACCTGTCATTGGTCCATGGTGACCATAATGGTGATGATCAGTTTGATGGTCACTCACTAACTGGTCATGACATGTAGATGATATTTTGTAAAGAAATTCTTATTTCAGTTACAAAATTAAAAAAGAGCATTCTGTTCCCAGCCTTACAAATTTTTATACATTTTCCAACCTCTTTTTAATCTTTCATCATAATAAAATATAATAAATAGCTATTGAATAACAACTTGATGGAGTACTATCATGTACTTTTCAATACAAAGTTTAGTTTTAGATGAGAGAAATACATAGATTTGATTATGGCTATTTGACTCTATTCTTAAATTTACAAAGTACAAAGCTTTCTAAAATTTGAAATGTTATCATTGAAGTTAAAACCCATTAAATGTATGCAATGTAGAAAAAGTTTGAATTTCCTTCAATGTAAGAAGTATAGTATTTAATCTTTATCAGAATCAAGGGCAAATAAAAATATATAAAAAAAGAGATAAGAAGAAATCACAAATAATTTATTCTTGAAAACAGCTATATGGAATTGTATTCAAAATTTACAGATTGAGATATTTGCCATTTAAATGTTGTTTCCAGGAAACTTAAGTTTAATTTTTTTTTATGTGAAATTAATATTACTATTGATTGTTGTATCAGTATTATTATGACATATTTAACAAGTATACATTCTAAATGATATATGCTGAAATTCAGATTTGTCATTCCACTTCCCTGTTCCTTTATTACTTAACCAACCATTCAGTCTGTTCAAACTGTTTACAGACAGACCTTTCCTTCGTGTGAGTAAATAAAATAAAAGGCGAAGATTCCCCTTCGCTCTCTTGTTAAATGAGAAAATTTGCCTTTATTTTAATGCAGTGCCATTATGATTTCTGGATGTACAGTTTTAAGTCCAGAGTTCAAACTACATTAAATAGTTTTTGTTACCAGTAACATTCTATCAGATAATTTGATATTACATATACAAATGTATTTCAAGCAACTGTTATTATGTAATATGCATTTAAAGATGTAATTCCTATATCAGTTTACTGATTTTTTATTAGAAAGAAGCAGTTTTCCACATACTTTATTTAGTATGTTTACCTTTTAGTGAACTGTACTTTGCAAAATTATATTGACTTTTTGAAGAAAAAACCCTTTCAAAGATTCAAATGTTCAATTTCTTTCATTTTCAACCTAGAGGCTTAAATGTGTTCACCAAATACTATTGTTAAACTTGCTTAAGTAGAACCCTTGAATGGCTATTAGCCAAAGGGTATTGAAAATTAACAATAACCTTTAATATGATGGTATGCTACAATGATCTATGATATTGTTGAAATATGGCAGTGGTCTGGTCTTTGATCCGAAATGTGAGTTTATCTCTAAATTATTAGAGAAGTAATTGATCAACTAGTGCAGACAAAGAAATACATGGCAGACCACCCCTTTGCCAAAACACAAAGCCAGAATTACATAAGTTCCAAAAAAAGCAGCTGGACTGCATGTTATTTAAGGATATACAACAAAGTGGGGTTAACAACAGTACACATCATACACCAGAAGATTACCTGGTAAATTGTCCATAAAACCTACAGACCTTCACCCCTGTAGACAAAGACTGTTCAATTATCCAACTTCAAATGGCATACCAGGATGAATCATTTTTATCAATAATACATATCAACTCATAAGTCTTATCTTCTATCACTTTGATAGTAAAACTTTTCCCAGAACGGAGGAAAAACAAAACAAATAAATGTGAATTTTTTGTCTCAATAGGGTCACGTTGTAGGCCACGCTATTACAGGAGGTGGTGGTCATTCTCCTGCACCCCAGGAAGCTGCACCTCAACAAGCTGCTGGCCAGCCTGTATACAACCAGCAGCAGATGAGCCAGCCCTGTGAATATGAGATGAGGCAGTTCTTGGAGTGTACTCAAACTCAGAGTGATCTTTCCATGTGTACAGGCATCAACGAAATTCTTAAAGACTGCAAGCTCAAATACAGTTAGTTGTGTCCCTTGATTCATGTTTTGTCTGAAGTGTGAGATCATGTCTAATGATTAAAATGATATGAGGATGAACTTATTAGATAAGAATGCTGGAGAAAATTGTATGCCAGCTATCTTTCATGGTTGATTGTGAACATGGAATGTAACCTCATGACAAGAACACTGACCTTACTTGGACCCCCAGTGTGAAAAAAAAACCCACAAATCTAAAAATCTCCGGAAAGAAGGCTCAGTGTGGTTCTCTGGCAAGCCAAATCTTTTGTAAATCTTATTTTCAAATTGCATCATTAGCTATCTCTTTATGACATTTTTGTTTCCATTAAAAGACCATGTGTGTTCATTGAAAGAACTAAAGTTGAATCTATGCTGGTCAGATATTGTAATGATTGATATCCTGGTCTCAATCTGTATGCAGCATCCTTTTAGTAGCTTGTAATATGATTATCTTTCATTAATGTTTTCATTCTTGTAAATATTTTTGACATCTTTGATTTTTAATATATTTGGGTTTCTTTTCAGATATTGTGTAAAGATGAGGTTGTGATGTTGGACAAAGCTCTTTAAAGCAGTTTGGATACTGGTGTGGTAGGATTAATTGAAAGTGTATAAGATATGGAAGGACCTCAGCTCAGGAATGGAAATGTGAATTATAGACTGTTGTTTTAATTTATGTGATATTTTTCCGGTTTTAATGTTTACCTCTTATGTATAAAAGTTAGACCTGGAATCAACAGTTATATTTAACATCAAACAACACAGAATATAAACATATACTTTAATCTAATTAAGGTTGATTGATTGATGCAAATGAAGACCCTGGTTCAAAAAAAATTTAAATAAATTGTTTTGAATGTGTTTTTCAATTTTACGCCTTAATCCTTTATTACCCACCAAACAGTCGTTAATGGTGTCTATTGCTACACCTTGAACAGGTTTGATTAGTGAGCTGTAAAAACTTGTAAAAACTCCCAAGGACATCACATTTGGGGAAAATATTCACAGATAGGTTGCTATCAATGATTTCATTACAATATTGGTAATGGTATATAAAAATCTCTTAACGGAGTAGGAGAGAACCAACATCCTGATTGCGTTCGGTCGTCAATCAGAACATGAAGGAATCAAAGATAGATACATATCAGTATTCAACAAAGCCCCATCAAGGAAGGTAAATACAGATGACAGAGGGAGCATCAACATCTGGATTCCATGGTTTTATAATAAGTTGACATGTTTTGGCTAGTTACGCTAGTCATCATCAGAAAAACGGTAAATATAGTTAATAAAAGTAAATTACAGCTGTGACATAATAACAATTGTCTATCTCACATGGTATTTACTATACAATGGCGACAATATAGATAAGTTGCATTGACAGAGTTCTGCGTGCTTGAAACTGAGCCACATTATCGTCGGACATACAGGTGACACTAATGCTAGTAGCAGTATTGATAATTGTTTACAGTTGCACCAGGAAAATTAATGTACTGGGTAGATATTAAATTAGGTGCAGTAAGGAAAACGGGTTCCATGTACACACCTTGAGGAAAATATCCAGTCTTTTTTTGCAGGTTAAGGGTATGTCTTTACTGGAAAGGCTGATTGCATTGCAAATTTCTATATAGCATACAAAAATGTTAACCATGGTACTTCCAGGAAAAAGCTGAATCATAAATCCCCTTCTCAATGCCTATTGACATATTTGTTTGGTATAACAAGTTACAAAACCAAATTGTGGTTTTAAAGTGACAGAAGAGGAGTAGCACTTCATTTAATGGATATATTTAATTCTATCTAGTACACTACAGGCAAAATATTCACTATTGCATGGTTGGAAACTGTAGATCAGGCCCCACTTGTATAAAACATCTTAACTTGAGATTTCCTCAAGCCCAGATTTTCCTCAGCTAATATCTCCTTGAAGATATCTTGTATGAAAATTCCTCAAGGAATTTCATGACATCCTAGCCGATGCCTTCCTCCTGTTCCTTGAGAAAATTTTATACAAGCCGTTTTTGAGGAGATATCAGCGGAGGAAAATCTCGACTTGAGGAAATCTCAAGTTGAGATGTTTTATACAAGTGGGGCCTGGTCACACACATGACTCATATTGTGAATGTCATAAGTGTACATGCCCATATTTTGTGCACTTCAGGAGAAAATTTCTTTATATTTAAAGTCCTGATGAAGCCTACAATGTTAGGTTGAAACCGGTCGACAACACTAATACACCTAAAACCAACTTAGACTGAGCTGTTGCAATTGATAGCTTTCGTTGCGAGATCAAATAGTTAGAATTGTTAGTACAAGATGACAGTTTGATGGTATGCACTTTATGGCTGACCCTCAAGAGTTGATGAGGCATGGCCAAAAAAGAGTCCGATTGACTTAAATTTAAAAAAAAAAAAAAATCTCAATACCAAAATTTGGTAGATTCTAATACTCAAAATGGATTGTGGGGTCTGAATGAAAAATTCTTCTGTCCCTGTACAAATATCATTTTTCATTTCTCTGGACTCCACATTCATTTCAGTTGTTTCTGTTGGGAGTTCACTCAGATGATGGGGGAAATGCCTGGGGCCTTTTGTTGTCATTTCTGTTTCTTATAAAGTGCTGGATGTTTCGTTCTCAATTTGTATATATATGCTGTCCTTGGTCCTTAGTTAGGCCTGTTTGATTTTTGGACTAATCAGAAAAACAAAATTGGTGGCCATCTTGGATTTCAACAATGAACATTTGTTATCACTCTACAACAGGTGCACAAGAGACTGGATGTGTAAACAGTTATTCCCCTTCCCAGAAGAGTGTGTCTGTGAATACAAACACTTTACAGTGATAATTGTTTTTTCCTTGAAGTAGTATCAGTCCCAACTGGTAAGTTTATCTGTGATTCTTACCTGTTGGTACACAGCACCTGATATATTACATGCATCATTTATTTTCAATATTGAAAATAAATGTTCATGATACTTTTTACTAAATACACACATTTGAAATGTATTTTGTAAATATAGATCATTAGGTGCTTTTCTCTTTGTTTCTGTTACTGTAGTACTAAATAATTCATTGTTTTGATATAATGATTTAGTGCTGAATCATCTAATTTGATTATTCCCTTTCTTTCTGGTATTTACAATTTTTATTCATCAAATGTGTGTGATAGTCTGTTGGGGGTAGGGGAGGGAAGAGACAGTATATAATTGACTTGCCATTGTTTTCTATAACAGCACCTTCCTCTAGATAAAAAAAATATGTTGTCATTCGGAGAATACCAGTACCCTTCCAAGAATTCCCTGAACCTTGTGGTATTACTTATAACCATCAAGGAGTACTTCAGCTTATATATAAAGGTGAGGCCCAGTAACATCAGTCCAATAGACATACTTAGTCTAAAATGTAGCCTAAACAAATTTAGAAATAAAGATGTTTTTCTATATGATCCAAAATGAATAAGGTTGAAAATTACATCAAAATCTGCCAAACAAATACTGAGATATTGACATGTAAAATGTACAATTTTCACCTGAGCTTATATTATAGCATTGGTATAGCTCATAGTCAATGGGACCCTATATATTATTCTGAAATATTATGACCTTCTATTAACTTTTTTATCTTGGCTAGGAGTCATTGTTGGATGTTAATCAAATCCACTGCCTTAGTCTGCTTGGGTGTGAAATTCATCCAAAGGTCATTACCAGTAAATAATGCTTAACATACTTGTGTCCAGTGCTGACATATATACCTGTGTCCAGGTTGACATCAAAGAGGTGCTAGCAACTTGGCAAGGGGTCAATTGAACTTGGAATTAGTATGTTGATTGGTGAAGATTGTATATCTCCCAGCTTTCATGTTTACAATAATGCCCTTAGAATTGATAAACAATCAAATGTATTAGGACTGATTTCAAGAAAAATATTTGTGATAAACAAAAACTCTAATCAGTGCAACTATATCTGACAACTTGCGATACAAACACGACATACTTTTGTTTTAGATTTTATAATTGGAGGTAATAGTCCATGAATCCCCTGCTTGGTGGTTGCCTGGTGTCACTAGCTGTCTTTGGCCCTCTGTCTCTTGCTCTCCTGCTTTAATGATCATGTTCATGCCCATCACAAAGAGAATCACAGATATTGTGCATCCAGTAACAATTCCCTTCTGTAGTTCCAGCCATGAAGTTGTGAATTCTTTGGTGGTAAATCTCAGCTGTATCCCACTGAAGTAGCTTCTGATCAGGTTCCTAAAGTGTTCTGGTATGTGGTAATGCCATATTGCCTCGTCTATCAACATATGAGGGACAGTTCCATATGCATTAGCTTGGTCCAACCATACCACAGTGAGATCAGTTTTGTTCACTTTAGCTTCCTGGATCAGCTGGGAGATGACACTGGTGTGTTCTATGCACCCGGAGAAGCCCGGTACCCCTCCTTTCTGTACTGATGTGTCAACGTACTGGTTCTTTGTCATGTAGGCCGTCATTCTCCTGGCAAGCACAGCAAAGATTTTCCCCTCTACATTCAGGAGTTAAATGGTCCAAAACTGGTTGATGTGTTCGGAGTTTTCTTCTTTCGGAATCAAGCATCCCTACACCTTTTTCCAGCACTCCGGGATCTTTCCTTTCCTCCATAGAACTTTTAGAAGTTTCCATAACCGCTGAAGGATCTTTGGGCACTTCTTGTATACCTTGTACGGTACACCATTTGGACCTGGAGCTGATGCTGATCGTGCTTTCATGACAACGTCCCTCACCTCTTTCAATGTTGGTTCTTTGCTATCTAGTGGGATCTCTGGTTCTGGCACTTCATTAATTCTGCTGCATGGGCCTAATGGCCTCCCCTTCTGGTCATCACTTTGAGTGTTACGCAGATGTTCTTCTACCTCTGCTTTATGGCTCTTCAGATTCCCTGACTTCTTACCTTCTAATAGTGTTTTTGTGAATCTGTATGGGTTGGCTACAAAGGATGTTCTTTTTGCTCTTTCACGCCTTGCCTTACATATTCTTTCTGCCTTCTGCAGATTTTTCCTCCTATCCCTTAGTGTAGCTCTCAAATCAATGAGTCCAAGCTGTTCTTCATGGTTTGCCTTCTTATACTGCCTTGTGATGCTTCTGATCTCTTTCCTGAGAGTCTCAATCTCTCGCTGTCGTCTACTACTGGTAGCTTGCTCATTGCTCTTCTTGCCTGCTTTGGCTGTTCCAAATCGTTCTTTACCAACTGTATATACAATTATTGATAAGGCTACTATTTTCTTATCCACATCTCCAACTAATGTGCCTTCCAGAATCTTGTCCAAATCATCATCGAAGGCTTCCCACTGTTTGTCGTCTGCTGGTGGCCATTTCACTCTGTCCCTTCTAGTCTGTGGCTGCCCGCCTGCCTTCACCTGAGAAAGATTTGTGTTCACTGGTTCATCCCCTATGCTGGACTGTGTAACATCAGTAAGTAAGAGGTCCTCAGTACTGTGGTGTTCATCCTGACTGTGATCCTCCTCCGTCTGACCAGTTATCACTGTGCGTTCTGCCATTAGCTTCACAGACCCACATTAGGTCCTTGCCCTGTGTACTTTCAATCCCCTCAGGTTTTTGCAGACTTTTCCACACTCAAACCTTGTTTATGCAGTTGTTCCAGTCAATGTCGTTTGGACTAGCCGAGTCGTTGCCGTTGAATCCGTCCAGTCTTTCCTGGATGCCACCTGTTTCTCCAGGAGTCACCAATCTATTCTTGGTTGCCAGCCAGTCTTTCCTAGCCGTCATTGGTGTTCCAGATACTTAGTACGTACAAACAGCTAAATGGAATTGCTGCTACACCGCCGACGTCCTCAGCCGAGGCCATCCTTCATCGCGTGTTTCGACCCCTTACTCGGTACACTCTCAGGATGGGGAGTCCACAGTGGTGATCAGTCACTGCGCGTCGATGGTGGGTCTCCAGCTACTCTCATCCCTCTTCATCCAAACCCAACAGGATGCCCTCTCTGCTGCCTGGGTGAACCGCTGCACTGCCCTTCTAGTACAGCCGGTAACATCCAGTGTACTGAGCATTCTCCAAACAGATGGTTCTGGGAAGCCTCTACACCCAATCTCTACCGCGAAGTTCCAAGTTTTCCAGCCTTTCTCCCTGCATTCTGCCAGTAGCTCTTCATACTTGGCTTTCTTCCTCTCATGGGCTGCATCTGTTCTTTCCTCCCATGGTATAGTCAACTCAATGACAGCAATCTTCTTTGTCCTGATGACCAAAGGACTAGATCTGGTCTAAGGTTAGTTGGTACAATCTCCGGGAATGTAAGTTGCTGGCCGATGTCTGCCACCAACTTCCAATCTCCTGCCAGATCCAAGATGCCGCTTCGCCCTATCTTTCCTGTTGGTAATGTTTCCCCTGCCTTCACAAACTGTATGGTCTTAGGTCTTGGTGCCTTCTGCTTAATCCTGCTCACCCTCTCCCTTTCCAATATGTCTGTCAGCTCTCGTAGTACCTGATTATGTCGCCACATGTACCGTCCCTGTGACAGAGCAACACTGCAGGAAGACAGTATATGCTCCAAGTTCCCTCTCCTTTCACAAAGGGGGCAATTCGGGTTGTCGGTCAGGCTCCATCTCTCTAGGTTGGCAGGTGTCGACAGAGTGTCATAAACTGACCGTAGGAGAAACCTCAGCTGGTAATGAGGGTATCTCCAAAGTTCTGTCCAGGTAAGCGATCTTTGCTCTGTGGTCCATCTGGTCCACGCCCCCTGGCTTCCCATTTCGACGGCCTTTGCTTGCCTACTCTCTTCCTCCTTGGATCGAATCTCTCTCTTGATCATGCCCCTTCTCTCTGATGTGCTTGCATCTTTCCAGTAGGTCGTTTTCGTCATCCCTAGGCCTTATCTACCTTGTGCGACTGATCCAACAGTATCCTTATGTCGGAGTCTACTTTCTGCCTCGTCTACTGCTTTGCTAGCTTACCACTTCCTCCCTGTTCTTACTTGTACTCCTGCCATCCGCACTTTCTCATCCCTCGAGTCTTGTAGGGTCATTATCAGCCTGGACTTTCCCACCTTAAATTCCTCCACTAACGAGGTGATTGGTAATTGGAGTTTGGTTGTTCTGCTGTACAGGCCAACAGATGTGAAGCTTGGTGATACACCAAGCCACTTCCGAAGATTCCTGTTGACAACCCTTTCAATCTTCTCTACTTGTGAGAGTGTGATTTCATACAGCATCAATGACCATGTAAGTCCATACTGGTACATCCACACCTTAAACTTTCTTGGTAGACCGGTCTTGTCAATGTTTCTCATCTCTTCCTCTACTTGTTGTACAACTTTCCTGATGTTATCTGTATCCTTCAATGTGTGGGTAAACCACTTTCCTAAGCACTTGATTGGGTTTCCTAAGATAGATGGAATGTCCTCCCCTTGTACTGTCAGTTGGAACCTTCGCGTAACTCATCCTTTCTTGATGATCAATGACCTGGACTTTCTTGGCTTGAATGACATTCTAGCCCATGCTACTGTCTCTTCTAAGGCTTTCAGAATCCACCTTGCCTGAATGTGGGTATCCACGGTAACTCGTCCATGAATCACCTGCTTGGTGGTTGCCTGGTGTCACTAGCTGTCTTTGGCCCTCTGGTCTCTCGCTCTCCTGCTTTAATGATCATGTTCATGATTGCACTGACTGTTGCTCATTGTGATGAAAGACTATTATACAGGTTTTTTTTTTTTTTTTTTTCCAACCCCATTTGTATACCCGGTACATGTATTTTTATATTGTACAGAGAGAGGTGGGATGCACATTTATTAATTTACTTAACTTTAGTTGATTGCTTTGAGTTGTATAAACAATGGCTTCATCATATCTTTGAGACGAATTGAATAATGAAAATCATCATATTTGCAGTCACCAATTTATCGAAATATGAAAAAAACAGATTCATTTAGATAACATCTGCATGTATGTTTGGCCACCCATATTCTGTACATTGCTTGTCTTCCAAGCAGCAACTCATTTCATCACTGAAATTGTTTTTTAAAAAAAAAAACAAAAAACAAACATGTATATAACCAACACAAGTGGCAACGGAATATGAATTATAGAAATTGCTGAAAAGCTCACAAATCAAATGCATGATCTACTGAGGTAAACATACACATGAACTTGTAACATCAGAAGTGGGCTTCCTATATCGGGTGGGTTGCAACTGAGTCAAAATGTGTATTTTAAACAAATTACATTATCTGGGAAAAGGTTTTAACTTCAACTGTCTATCACACTTTCTTGACCTTTTTAGGTCGCCTGAGCCGAAGGCTATTGCCATCATGATTTGTCTGTCGTCGTGCGTCGTGCGCCGTGCGTCGTTAACTTTTCACATATTCGACTTCTTCTCAAGAACCACTGAATGGATTTTGACCAAACTTGGCACAAAGCACCCCCATGAGAAGCCGCTTCAAGTTTCCGAAGAAAAAGGGTGTGGCCCCAATAGGGCCCCAGGAGGCGGAAAAAGGGGGTAAATTAGGTAAATCTTTAAAAATCTTCTTCTCATGAACCAACAGTCAGATAAGATTCATATTTGATATTTAAGGTCCTTATGGCAAGGTTTATTAAGTTTATGAATGAAAAAAAAAATCAGGTCAAAACGGCCCCACTAGGGGGCGCTCAAAAAGGTCAAAATTTCAACGTTGTCCGATTTCAACCAAATTTGATAGAAAGCATCCCTTAGTAAAGCACATATGAAATTATGTTGAAAAAAATGATTATGTCCCCTTTGGGTCCCATAAGTCGTGTAAAAGGGGCCATATGTAAAAACCTTCTTTAAATGACTTCTTCTCAAGAACCATTGGATGGATTTTGACCAAACTTGGCACAAAGCATCCCCATAGGAAGCCGCTTCAAGTTTGCAAAGAAAAAGGACGTGGTCCCAATAGGGTCCCAAGGAGTGGGGAAAGGGGAAACTTGATAAGAATGTTCTACACAAGGTCCTGGCAAGTGTTTTAACTTTTTGGGGCCAATTCAAAATCCAAGATGGCCACCCTGGCCTCTGTTTGGCTAAGACATTATGGACTTCCTCTCAAGAACCATTGTGCTGGTCATGTTCAAAGTTGGTACAGATATTTTACACATAGTCCTGCACAAGTGTTGTTACATTTTTGCAACATTTTAAAATCCCCAGATTATTGACATATATTCCTCATGTGACCGTTAAGGCCCCTTGGGCCTCTTGTTGTATATATACCCACTTTCTTGACTCTTCATTGTATATATACCCACTTTCTTGTCATTTTATTGTATATATACCCACTTTCTTGACCTTTTATTGTATATATACCCACTTTCTTGTCCTTTTATTGTATATATACCCACTTTGACCTTTTATTGTATATATACCCACTTTGACCTTTTATTGTATATATACCCACTTTGACCTTTTATTGTATATATACCCACTTTCTTGACCTTTTATTGTATATATACCTACTTTCTTTACCTTTTATTGTCTTTGACCTTTTAT